GGAGTCAACGAAAAGATCAGAAGAAGAAGCAAACACAAAGAGTACGTCTGTCTTCTTCTTCGTATGGATTCTAGGGTTTTTTTTCATTGTTCCTCACTTGATCTTATAATTTTTATATTTTAATTCGATTTAATCACCCATTTCTTCGATTTTTTTTTTTGCGGTTGTGATTTTTATTTGGTTTTCTGATAATATTATCTTATGTATGTTGAAGGGTTGAATTGGGTCAGAATCACTCATCAGATCCATAATACTTTTCGAAAGATCTTGAATTAGGTTCATCTTAAAACCCATTCAACACAAAAAGAAGTTGGATACTTTTTTTTTCAAGATCTAAATTGGGACATCATTCAAGAGCACACTTAATACAAAGTTTGATACTTTTTGATGGATATGTCGATGACAAACACTGGCCAAGAAGCTAGTAGTGGCTCCGGCAACAACAACAACTACTACTTCAACTCGGTGATGAGAGAACACATGTTCGACAAAGTGGTAACACCAAGCGATGTCGGGAAACTAAACCGGCTCGTGATTCCAAAGCAACATGCAGAGAACTACTTCCCTTTAGAAGACAATCAAAACGGCACGACGTTGGAATTCCACGACAGAAACGGCAAGACGTGGAGGTTTCGTTACTCGTATTGGAACAGTAGCCAAAGCTACGTGATGACTAAAGGTTGGAACCGTTTCGTCAAAGAGAGGACTCTTAACGCCGGAGACACCGTCTCTTTCCACCGTGGCTATATCCCCGACGATAACGAACCAGAGAAACAAAGGAAACTAATGTTCATCGATTGGAGGCATAGAGCAGACACAAACCTCGTACAAAACATTAACCATCATCATCATTACCCGATTTTCTCCGGTTCTCCGACGTCATCTATGCATCATCATCCAACGGCTACTACTTATTATCCGGCGACGGAATATTCCATGCCGCATAACCGGAGTTTTCCACCGTTTTATCAAGAAAGGGAGTTTTTAGGGTATGGTTATGGAAAAATTGTTAATGGAGGGCGTTACTACGCAGGATCACCGTTGGATCAGTGGAATCTTGGTAGATCTGAGCCGTTGGTTTTTGATTCGTTTCCTGTTTTTCCTGCGACGAGGGCGATGATGTTGCCGCCTTCTCCTCCTCCTTCTCAGGTGACGGAGGGGACGGTGAAGAAGCTGAGGCTGTTTGGGGTCGACGTGGAGGAGTCTTCTTCTTCAGGGGAGACACGTGGCGAGATGGGAGTAGCTGCAGGGCACTCTTTGTCTTCTCCGGTTGTGATTAGAGACGATGAATCATCTTGGAGGTCGCCACGTGGAGAAATGGGTGCATCGTCTTCTTCTTCTTCGGTTATGCAGTTAAAGGATGATGAAGAATATAAAAGGAAAGGAAAGTCTTTAGAGCTTTGAAAGTAAGACAAAAAGAAAAATGAAAGATAATAAGTTTTATTTTATTCACCATTTTCCTTTAATTCCCCTTTTGTTTTCATCTTCTTTTTTTTTTCAGTTAGTTCCAACTTTAAAAATCATTAACTAGGTCATTTGGCAAATTGGGAAGTTATAATGTAGTGAGGAAATTGGCCGGGATTATTTATATAAGATATAGTTGATTTTGAGCTTTTGTATCAACATGTTGATTCTTGAGCCCTAGTTACCATATGTTGAAAAGAATAAACCCCCATCTTTCAATATTGTATTAAAGCTTATATAAATAATTATATAGAATCTCGAGTTTTTTATTATACCAACTCATATTGAGTTGTATACACCAATCCACGAAGCAAAAGTGTTCACCTTTTTTATCTTGACTTTTCTGTTATAATGCTGGCTTATAAATTTTATAAATTGTACTCTCTGTGCCTATCTCTAGCTAAGCTGACAATGTTTTATGGTACATTCTAAGCTAATGGGCAGTTCCAAAATCTCTCTCTCTCTCTAACCGATGGTCCAATTTTAGTTTGTTTGGTTACTATTGTCTTTGCTTGATTTAAAGAGGTTTGTAGGTTATGGGCAGAGAACAAAAAAGAGAAGCTATAGCAAGGACAATTTCATTTTGTAATAATCATTTTGAAGAAGAAATACAAAAGGTATGGTATCTTCTTTCATTTTTTTTTACCTTTTTCCCAAAAAGAAAATTTTCTACTATATATATTACTTCTCATTTACTTCCTTTAGTTTCTTGCTTTTGTAAATTTCTTGTAACCGTTAGTCCGTACGACCGTACGTGTCTGGTTTGGATTTACTAGTTTAATAGATAACATTTATGTAGCCAAATTAAGTATCTAGTTGATATTTTAAGAACCAATATCATATGCAAATTATTATATAGATGCAATATATGCACAAAACATCATAACAGAAATGAATACTGAAACTAGCTAAAGCAGTATCTAATATTAGAGAATACCAAAATGATTGGAAGATTCATTTAGAATCCCATTAAAACCTAGATACTTAATTTGGCTAT